GGAGACAGAGCTTCGTGCCAATCTGAAATTATCAAAATGGCACCGAAAGTCCCTCACTCTTGTCATGCATTATTCATTGGCATGGCACTGGAAAGTATGCTAATTACATTTCACACACAAGTTCGTTCATATAGTGTGGCAGGTTTCTAATTCATAGTTTGAATTCACGAAATTAAGTTGAACGGAAACTTACAGGATAGGTAAAAAAGTGTGTCGTTCGCGAAAAGCTTATCTCATGAGCAGAATTAAAATGTACGCGTACTTTTTTTTTGGCCAATCAATGCATTTCGGTGGGCAGTGATTATGTTATAAATTGAAGGGTGCTACACGTGATTAATTCCATATAATTACGGTTACAGTATAATTGGGGACACTGTAATGGTTATCACACCGATTCCATCACCCAGTGCAGCAGTTGAAACGATGTAAAAATAAAAATTAAACCTACTACCAACCTCTGTTAACCCAGCAGTGTTAAATGGTTACACCACAGTTAGTTTAATCAGCAGGTCACGTGGGGTGAGAGAAGAGATGGAATTACGTGGTTCGAGAGGAAATGGAGCTGAGTCGATTTGCCAATAACTGGTACCAGCAGTATTAAGATCGGACGTAAAGGATGCTTCTGGGCAGTGGGAGGCAATCGCCCTCCAGCAGCAATGGAGGGCAAGAGGATCGACGCTCATAACAACGAGCAGAGCGCCGGGCGGCTAATACACAGCAAGTTGGCACAGTAGGGGGCACAGGTGGTGCATCGGCCAGTCATCTCAGTCAGTCAACCCATGGCACCTGGGTCTGTCCTGTACCCTCTTGCAAGCGCGCTTTTAACACTTCGCGTGGCCTTAAAGGGCACATAGCCTGGCACAAGCAGCATGGTGACCTCACCGCCACTTAGTGGCGAATGGCAGTTGTTGTTGCTGCACATGAAAACCCTCCCTGAGTTTCAGGTTTACTTGTTCAAGAAGGTCCTGCATTATATATCCAATTTCACTATTAAAAAGTATTATGGACAGAGTTTTTGCTTGCATATGATTTTATATATTGAGAGGCACTCTCGTTATTTCTGGGTCACCCGAGGTGTCCGAGCGTTTAAAGAGTGGTGTGGACGCATCAGCAGCATTTATAGTATCAGTATCAGTCAGGCCAAAGGCCCAGAGGACTTTGAAGCCAGTAAACAGATATTATTTGCAGCTATGACATTACATAAGCCCCCAGTGCCCTTGGAAAGACTCCAAAACGAGATGCTTCTATACATTTCCACGTGATAAGCCACTTTGTTGAGCTATCATTTGTCGCCAGGTGGCATCTGAAAATAGTTTTCTAGCTCACTGGGGTTTACCTGGTAAAATAAAATAAATAGTAGTTTAACGGTTGTATGTATGCTGAACTTCTTTCACATCTGACATCGCCAACCGTGCGTACCAGAGCCTTGCGAACTGCTCAGCATACTTTGCAAGACGATGTAAAATAATACTCACCGGGGACTGTTCGGCCTGAGAGGGATGTCACCCCGTGCGGTCACGTGATTGGATTGCCAGGGTGACATGTCACTGGGAATTACGAGGAGCGACTTTTTTTTTTTGGCTCGGTATTCTTCCCAAGCCATGGCCGCCACGGCCTCTCCCGAAACACAGCGGAGGAAATCACGTTAAGCGTGTCCCGGGCTATGAGGTGAAGAGAGAAAAAAAAAGGACCCTTGAGTTATCTGCACGGTCGTTATTAAACCGAGACACGTTTATGCGTCTGATTAGTGTTCATCATCATTCGTTGTTAATATATGCAAGCGCACACATAAATACGCACTCCAAGCTCGTGTCCTGCGATTGTACGCAAAGAGGCACCCTATTTAGTCTAATGGACTCAAGGGGCAAATGAGGTTAATGAACGCCTATTAACACATGTACGTACCTGAACTTTGTAATCAGTTGAGAGAGCCCATTTGGCCAACATATTCCTGCACAAGGGGACACCTGGGCACAAACAAAGGATGTAAAAGCTAGAGGAGCGGCCCTGCAATTTCCTGCACACACGACTGCTGGCAGATGGGGCCTCCGCTGGAGCGAGTACCCAAGCTTTACTCCACGACACGCGACCTGCCGATCGACTAACTGCGGCGTTCCCCTTATATAATGCCGGGTGGACAAAAGCCAAGGGTAATTTAAGAAACTTGCCCCATTGATTCAACAGCTGAGCTTAGGGAGATCCAACCGGCCGACGTATTGGTTGTGTGATTTCGGTGTGCTCACCGTTACATAATGGCAGCGTCCGAAATCTCGCGGAGAATGTATGGAACAAAAAAAAATGGGAAAAATAAATACGAAGACAAAGCTTCCAAACTAATTGTTAATAATCCGCACGTAAAAAAATCACACACACACACCCAAAAAAAGATAAAACCCCAAGGTGCAGAACATTTCCCACACATGATGAGCGGAGACTCAGGGTACTGATATAACACAAATCCCCCGCGAGGCATCCAGCCACCCACAACTATAAGTCAGTGATTATTACATTTCGGATTACTTGTAATTGTTCTCAGTGCGAATGTCATAAAGATATTCACTATTTGCCTGTAAGTCATTTGATTCACGTGTCAGGTCTAGCACAGCGTTTTGTCTCTCACACCGGACCAGGCAAACAATTGAAGGCAGGCTTGAACCAGGGGAGGCCTGATAGAGTTCCAGATATGACTCGGACCCACCAGTGATGTGAATGGCTGGGCATTTAACCTGTGTTGGTGGGATTTCAGCGTAATGTGCGAACATTTATACCGCATTTGTATACTTAATTTTTACAGTATTGTCCATATGTATATACACATTGATTCAAGATGAGTTTCAGATTTTTTTTCAGATATCAGTTATTTAGGCCCAAGTTAAAATTTGACTTCAAATAGTTATAGTTTGTGAAAATGTTAACATTTTTCGATTTTCAGAATTAGCAAAGGTGACGTCACGAGTCATAAATATTACGTCGTGTGGCAGCACTATTAGCGGGGCAATCACGAAAGTGATACCGTATCAGTGATGTCATTAATTGCATTTTCAAATCAATCCAAACCTATTGCGAATCGTCTAAAATTTACACAGAGACCCGATTTAAAACAAATTCTGTCATCGTCAAAAAATTCGGGAGCTCATCCCCAACGTGGACATATGCATTTTTTGAACACTCCATATGCATGAACACGTGTTATGTGCAACACTTAATGTCAATGAGATCTCAATACCAACGAAGCATTAGAAACGAGCAAACGTTGTTATGGATTCATGGGAAATTTTGAATTGCTTTCCACGGCCGCCTGAAAAGCTAGACGTGCAACCACAAACACAGCAGGCCCATGGGCTGGATCAATGTGAAAGCGCTCCACCACGTGAGACCTGGTTTGCTTTCCTGCTGTGTAATTAGCTCACATGTGCCAGGAGCTGTATGTATGCATAAGATACTCTTCTCATTTAATAAACATGCTTTCTTTATGACGTGTTTTTTTTTCAGGCCTAGCCTCGCCTAGATTTCAATAGTGTTGGTTTTGACATAACATATTTAACTTCTCACATTTGTCTGATTGTGCTCACTGGTTGGCTCAATTATGAAATGAAGACTATATATACATGTAAAAATACATAGTCAAATTAAATAACTTCAGCCATTATAAATTCAACGATGAACGAAAGCCTCTCCATGCCGTGGCGGCCATTGCGATTTTTTTCCTCACACGCTGGTCACATGGTGGTCAGTGGTGCCATGATGGCCAGATGCAAACTACCTCGCATGCTCTACAGGAGATCATGGGTTCGATATCGAATCTGACACCTGCTATACATTTGGTGTTTGTGTAGTGTTTTAAGGACGGACTCCTACACTTCTTTATGGCACACACTGTTGATTATCTTAATACACAGTCCCTATCACACTAAGGGGTATATGGTCCCCTCACCCGTTACCCTCAGAAGGTACAAGCCTCCAGACCTTGCAGGCTATCTAATCTCCCTGCTCTCCCAGCATCCTCTGGCTGGACCTAGGGGATCTCTCCCCGACCACTGGTTACTCTGAGCCCTAGCCCTGATAAGGGCTGGAGGGCTTGGTCCAGGGTCCTAGACGTCTTCGGCCGACTTGGGTCTTCGTGTAGCAGAACCTCTTCAGAGCTCTCAGCGCTCTGGCTTTTATACCTGTTCGTGGCCGGGTTGTCCAATCCCGGCCACCTTGTAAGACCCTCTGATTGGTCCTTCCCAATCTGAGTTTGGATCCTACCTCACCCCATTTGACCCTGACCGTTTGATTGAGTGGGAAAACCTTGTTTACGATCTGCTGTCACAGTTTGCGAACAGCGAGTAGTTAACACCACTACATTTGCATGCTGTCCCTGTGGTCGCATGGATTTTTCTCCGTGTCCTCCGGTTTCCCCCTCCACATTTATAATCAGCATGCGTTTAGAGTTTTCGGCTGCTATACATTTCCACGTGATAAGCCACTTCGTTGAGCTTTCATATGTGGTCAGGTGGCTTCTGAAGAAGAGCTACATAGCTCAGTGGGCCTTACCTGGTGAAATTAAACTAAATAGTTGAGATTTAGTTTCGTTCAGGTTGGTCACAGGGCTGGGAGAACCACCACCTGTTCTGCTTTCACTTGCCACTGATGTGAGCCGAAAATTGAACTCAGTTCACTGGGTTCAGATTGCAGCGCGTTAACCACTTGTACCGCCAGTGGCTCTGCATGAACCACCGTGTTGCCCGACGGGATTACCGTTGAAGTAAATATGAAATTTAAACCCCACTGCACAGCGGTGTCTTGCCAAACATATTCACTGCGTATGCGTCTGACTGCGTGGGAAGAAAGACCGTGACAACTCTACTCCACGGGCCGTCATCGACGATCCACGGATCGCTGACTATTCATTGCGAACGTCGGCGTCATCGCAGCGATGCAGGCGGACAGAAGTGCCCGTGCTGCTATGTGACAACCCGCGTGTGCCGTGCGCCCTGCGATCTGTTTGGTTGCAGCAGCAGGTGATCCTGCAGAGCAGTCACCATGGGGCGACGCTTCAGCGGCCTCGAGGTCATTCTCATCACGATCAGCATCCTCTTCATGGTGGCCGCCGTGGCGCTCATCGTGGTGATGTTCGTTCAACAGCCGGGTGAGGAACCGTGCGCTCGCGATGGCGACTCTTCGCCGCCACGTGACGAAGGCGTCGCCGTAGCGGTGCACGTGTGATGCCACCGCCGCGAAGCCGCTCGGCGGGCGCCCCATCTACGACCTCGCCACCAGCAAGCGACGGGACCGACCCCGCTTCCCCCTCACCACCCCCCACATAAACACACCCTCACGCATTTCCCCCACCATAGAGCTCTGAGGGGAGGTCACCTGGCCGGCCGGTTTTTACCCGAAAGCCCTCATAGGGATAACCTTCACGGTTTCCTGCGGCCAGGGAATTGGGCGACCTCCCCCGATGCTGCTTCGCACCGCGGCGCTGTGACCTGGGTTGAGATTGCATGGTCACGGCAGGGGCTGTCCAGCCACCACGGTTGAGACGCACCCCCACACACGACGTGAGGAGGTGTCAAAGGCTCGCTGCTCGCCAGACGTAATGGGACAGACCCAGGTGGTGCAGGTTGACTGACCGACATTACCTGTACTCCGACACTGATCCAGCTCACCGTGTGTTATACTCGCCCGGCACTTTGTACGTGCATTCGCACACAATGTACAGGGCATGGATCAAACACTTCCAAGGCTTGTCATAAGTGACAAGAGCTGTTCTCTTTGCTTCAGTATTCTTGTATAAAAATAGCATTCCATTCGAAGCTTACATAAAAAAAAAAAATTCTAATTGCATAACAAATTAAACAGAACATGGCAATTCTGTTTACGTGACAACCCTTACTAGTCGGCTGTGTCGGGTAGTGGTGGGTTTTAACGACACATTTACATATTTACGCGATCTAACCCAAAAAAACTCTATTATGAATGATATTGGTCGCGAAAGCCTACGTGTTAGACTCATTTCTGAGTTGCCTTAATTTAGGGTCGCCATCTATTACGTACAGAAACTGGGCCATATTATGGAAAAAGGAATAATTAACCAACCGGATGAGGGGAAAACAACAATGCAAATGCATTGACTTTGCCTGAAAGTAACTGACACGGGTACATTTTCACACACCAGGAATAACTTCCAGATTTCGAACGATGGCAGCTATGTCACAAAGAGGACTGTCCTCTATCCTCCAACACAGCGAGGGTCACGAGAGTTTCCGAATGGAAATGTCATCATCTCATAACCTGACACTATTAATATATTTGGGGGGGTGATGCGGGGGGAAAGAAAACGGATGGACAATTATTAGCTTCAGGCAGTATTGGTCACGAATTGACAAAACCATTTGGAAGGTGATGTAACAGAACCATCCCTGCAGTATTTTGAACAGCCTAAGTTTGAGTGTAGGTGTTACAACTTTCTATTTACATGTTTTATTCGGTGCAATTGTGAACAACAGCAATGTCAGACATCTAATCGACATAACCATTGGTTCACTGCAGCTCAAAGACTCAGTCCCTACAAGGTGTGTGATGAAGTTAGGAGATGTCCATGTTGCCCTGCAAAGACAATTTGTCCCCTGGTAATTAAACTACGTATGTTTTTTTAAAATAACATTTTAAGGCTACAGTTGACGCATTGGTTCAGGAGTCAGACCTCTGAGATGGCACAGTTGAGATCCTGGGTCCGAGATCGGGTTTTAGTCACACATGTATACACTGGTTTATCAGGGTTCTACAACAATCAACAATTTCAATTCAAAATGAAGGCTATTGGGTTAGATCACACAAATATTAATGTGTGAATAATAAAACAAAGAAGTGATCTAACCCAAATACCTTGTTTTCATGAATAATATTGGTCGGCAAAAATCCGACGTGTTGAAATTGACATGACAGACAAGTCAGCCGAGTGGAAAAGCTGGGCAAGAGCGTGAGACAGTGAGCGGTGAAAGGTTGGTGATGACCATGGTGAGGTGAGCTAAACATGGGCCGAGTGAAAGGAGAGTGGAGTTGTTCAGTTAAGTGGGCTTGAAATCGGTGCTGCATCAATGCACTTCCATGCTGCAATTGTGTCCTCTCGTTGACCCAACGTTATGGTAAACGTGCATTGACCCAAGGTAATGGCGAACGTGTGTTGACGAAAAAAAATATGTTACATTGGCCTCGCATTGACCCTAAGGGCGTGCCCGCTGGGCTACGGTCCCCCATGAGTCACGTCGCAGATAAGCGAGTCACTGCACGGGGAGTTGTTGCGCAAGCAATGTGCGTTGGCAGCGAGACATCGCGCAAGGGTTGACCGTGGCTCGTGGATAACGATTGACAAGGCGTGCAAGAACGAGAGCGCTGTTGTGGCACCGCGAACATAGCGGTAGCTGTCTCCCATTGGCCCCGGAATAACCAATGTGCTCTACAAAAAAAACCAAAACGCATTCGTCAAGAATACTGGAGCCCTTCTTCATAGCACTGCCCAATGTGGCCTATTGTATATTTTGTTTGTTTCCGTAAACGGCAGTGTCATTGAGCATGTAACGTCTGCGCTCCTTGAACGGATGAATAGCAAAGCTGTACATCGTCTCAGCTGAAGACCTCCAGTCGTGGCTAACAGACCCCGACATTGGCATTTAGCTCGTGAACAGAAAACATATTGCCAAATGTAAGGGTAGAATATGCCCCTTGTAGAATAAAACCGAATTGACACGGTTTCACTTTGGAGATGTAAATGCAAGCATTGGTGCGAATTCTCGGTGCGTTCGATGCGGCACTGGTTGTGCGTAGACTTTTATATATATATACAGTGCTGTACATCTATAAAGCTGTTTTCAAAGACTGACACATTTTAATTAAGATAACATCCATGGATACAGCATGCACAACCTCATTTTAATCAGAGGTACCATTACGTATATTGAATAGGTTATTTTGGTCCTGCCAACCACAACAGCCAGATACTTTGCCATGCAATAAAGTTCCATTATCTGTATTTGAGCTAAACTTCTAGAATTACCTCCCTTGACCAGAGTCTAAAATGCAAAAGTCTCAATGCAAGTTCATGCCCCACCCTCCAGTTTCAATAAAGCCAAACTTGGGAACAGTTTACCTGTCCAACAACAACAGCAACCGCCATTCGCCACCAAGTGGTGATGACGTCATCACGGCACTTAAGGCCAGGCTATGTGCACTTTATGGCCACGTGAAGTGCCCTCAAACCGTATTATACAGGGCGGAACTTCACCTCATCCACTTTTATCATTCGTCCAGACCCTCTGCTTTTTACGAACGTGATCATCTCAGGAGGTGTTTCACACACTCATATAAAGTACGATGTATATTTACCATTTCTATTGTACCAGGTAAAGCACACTGCGATGTATACTGTAGCTCATTTTTCAGAAGCGACCTGAGGCCACCAATGATAGCTCAACAAATTGGCGTCGCTTGTCGCGTGGAAATGTACAGCAGCCAGATACTCTGAATGCGTGATGTCGATTTCAAATGTGGTGGGAAAAACCGGAGGACGCGGACAAAAATCCACGTGACCACGGGGAGGGAGACACACAAACTTAAAATATTCAGCGGGCATCAGGATCGGGATCGAATTCACGACCTCCCGGATACCAGGCTAGGTAATTAATGTCTCCCAATCGTGGCATCCCTGACCACCATTTGACGAGCATGTGAGAAGAAAGGCGAATGACTGCCACGGCATGGAGAGGTTTTCGTCCATCGGAAAATTTAGAATTGCGAAAGTTATTTTATTTGACTATGTATTTGTCCACGTATATATAGTCTGTATTTCATAATTGATTAAACCAGTGAGCATAATTAGACACAATCTCAGAAGTTAAATATGTTACGTCAAAACCAGCACTGCTACAAGCTAGGCCGAATTGGGCCTGGTAAAAAAAATAATCTGCCAGAAAAAGAGCATATTTATTAAATGAGCATGGTATATTACACATACAGGCGAGGTAGTTAGCATGTTACCACCGTGGCTCCCCCACCGGCCCAGTTGCCACAGGTGAATGTATGTGTGTATGTATGTAGGCATGTGTAGTGAGTCCAACTGAGTCGCTGACGTTGTTATTTAGAGGCAACACTTTTATTGTAACATCAATCCGTTAACACAAAGAGGTAACTGCTCCTTCACCAGATACAGCCAAGGGTGGTGACCACCCAGCTAACTCCTCTATACGTAGGAGTTACAGCTACGAAGGGTCAGACCCTCACTTGGGTCCCCGGCCACGTGTTGATGCCTCGTAGAGATACCAGCTTGTAGACGTGGAGCTTCCAGCTTGTAGAACAAAGAACCCCAGTCCCCCCAGGGACCCACCTTATATCGCCCCTGGGTCGGGGCCTGCTCCGCCCTCGGCCCCACCCGCCTTCTCGAGCGTTCGAGCTCCCTCTCGATCCCTCTCGAGAGCTCTCCCCGGACACGTGATCACTCCCTAGCCCCCCCCCCCCCACCTGGGAACCTCTCTGTGGACACTCCAGATCACGTGTCCTAGGGGTCAACCAGAGTGCCATCGCCCAGGGCAACCCTGCCCCTGGACTGACACTCTCCCACTCCCCCTGGTGGGAGCCCGCACGACACGTGATGCGTGGTGCCTGCGCTATCCCAGCGCTCACCAAGCCCCGGCTAGGGCTGGTACTACACCCGCCTACGGGGTGTACGCAATGACGGTGCATCGCACGCCGTGCTGTGCTATAGCCGGCCTCAGACAGCAACGCACCTGGTGTTGTCCGCGACGTAGGGACATCGCACGCCACGGCCCTCTCGGGCCGGCACCATACAGTGACTTCCCCTATGTCACTACACATTTATGGGGAGCGGTGGTTTGGTGGTTAGCGCGATGCGCTACGGATCCGATGACCCGATATTGAATCCCGCTCACGGCCACCACCAACGACGATCATCTGAACCGGTCCTGGCACTCCCCTAGGTAGACTCGGCCTCAATTTAGTACATGGGGCGGTGTGTAAACATCACCACGAGGGAGACAAAAACGGCCTGGCGTGGTGCTGGCCACCCACCTACTCATGTGTTGTGCGGGCGTTCATTGGTGTTCGCTAACAGTATTTGCCCCAACAGTCTGTTAA